GCATGCATAGGTTAAGTTAAGTTAGGTTTGTGTTGTGTTGGGTTAGGTTACGTTAGGTTGGGTTGGGTTAGGTTAGGTTTGGTTCAGGTAGGTTAGGTTGTAAAATTTTAGCAAAAACATGTCAATAAAAATTAATGTGCCATTTTCTCCTCGTCTTATGATTATGCCTTTTTTTCCGGTGCCATATTTTCCTACATTCTAAAATAATGTATATCAACAATTTCACAAAACACAATTCACGGACAACTGGAGTTGGACAACACTGACAGGTGACCGCTATCAACGTTCTCATTAAAGAATGACATTGTTCTCAGTCTGGGTGGTAAGATGGGGTGGCTTAATCTTACCTTTGACCTCATGTCAGCAGATGCATTGCCTAACTGTGCTGGTCACTAATCCTTCAGGTGGTCTCCTGAATCTGGGTGGTAAGGTGAGGTCAGCTTAACGCGGTCACTAATTCTGGTGTTGGGTGAGGTAAGGGCCGCGGGGGCCGGGGCGGTCTCACTGGTTGCCATGCCCTAGGGACGGCTCTAAGCATGAGACTCCCCAGAGGCTGTGTGGGAGTCAGAGTGACATCTCCACTCCACCTACAAGAGTCCCCTTAGCCTCGAAGGGGACATGTGATGATTACCAGGCTTATTCTTCAGTGTGTGGTGAGCGTTGTTTATGTAATTGTTTTGTACTGGTAAGTAGTATTGTAGGAATTGTTTTGTCTGTGGTACATGTGTGTTTGGTGACTGGCTGGGAATGTATCCCATTGAACCCCATGTTATAATGCTCCCTATTTAAGATAATGTGTTGAATATATAATAACCTGGTATATCTTATTATCTGTGCTGTACATTAATTTTGTTTGTTATTTGCTCTTCCTTTCATATTAAAACTGCATCACTGTGATTAACATTAGTATACTGTTCATCTTTGAACATGAAATGTGTATGAATACATTATGACATTACATTATAATACGTACTACCTTAGGTTTAAAAATAATATATACAATTTGCTATATGGCAAGCTTTTTTTACATTCTTGAAGAGGTTCATATCTGACAGAATATCTACCATTTCCTTTTATTCCTATGTTTGTGACCTTAAATATTATTCTGTGTAGGGAATTTGATGTTAACCTCATGCATTACAGAATCCTATTTTCCCCTGTCATTAATAAATTTGCAACATACATTAATCAACTGTGCAGGTTTACCGAGTGCAACTGAATATTCAGACTGTGTTAGACTGAGCTAGGTGTTTCAGTTGATTATGAAAAAGGCTAATTCTGTCATATTTTGTAAAGTACTGTACAGTTTATCATCATAATCAGTGTTATACAGCCATTATCCCTGTTTGAGTGAGTTAAATGTAGGTACCCGATGGCTGCTCTTCATGCTGCACAGACTCGTGTAGTCTCTTGTCAGGTTCCTAACTCTATTGTCATTTCTTACAACCTTTCCCCATGTCATTCATGGCTTATCCATGGCTCTTTTCCCCTCCACATTTAGGTTCATGCATTTCTTTACCCAGTTTGTCTCATTCATTCTCTCTACATGCCTAAACTATCTCAGCCTGCTTGTACACAGGACTTTGCCAGTACAATATGTACTGTACTATCAATACCCAGCCATCCTCTTGACTCTGAACAAGACCTCCTGTCTTTCAGTTTCACATATCACATCCATCCCACCATTCCCACTTCAGCTTAGTCAAGTCTACTTATGCCATCCTCTTTAACTGCCCATGTTTCACTGCCATACATCATACTTTTCATACCAGCTGCATACTTTCTTTCCTTCACTCAAAGGATAGGTCCTCTTTCTGTCAATAAAGACAGCAGCTCTCCAAACTTCCTCCAGCCCCTTCTGACTCTGGAAACTGAGCTGGCTTCATCACCCCTACTCGCACTGATCATGTCACCTAGGTGACAGAATCCATCATCACACTCCAGGGTCATATCCCCAATGTTGAGTTTCTCCAGCCATGCTGTGGCCACATGGTTAGCAATTACAGTACATATACAGTACAAAACATTTAAAGTCAACAACATCCCACAGTCTGCCATCTACTTCATCACACCTCTTGTGTACTCATTATTTTAGGGATACTGTACTTTTGTTCATGTGTTTAAGATACAGTACTGTGCTACCATTATCCATCTTATTATTTCAGATTTTGTGAGTAAATATAAGAAAGATTATTATGGAGTTTATCATAAGTTTTTAGTTTGTGGCAGAGATTTTGAATAGATATGAGGTAATTTTATAACAAAACTCCTTGTACCTTGAAAGACATCTGTATCAATTATAATTAAATGTTTGCTCTGTATTCTGGGATAGGTCAGTTTTGCTCCTCAACCAGTTTTACACAAGGCTGTTGTCACCGATGATTGTTGTAGTGAATCTTTTGGTGACCCATGGGTGGTTGTCTGTGTGTATATTAATCTGAAATGTTATTGTTATTAATATTTTTACAATTATTATTAAGTGTTGTGATATTTTCCTCAGATACTGTAGTCAACAGAAGTACAAGGAAGTTCTTGATCTGTTATTTGATGGAGCATCTCTTCTCCTCATCCATGATCAAGTAAGATATTCTTTCCATCATGTCCTGCAGCTTCGTAAAGTTTTGGATCATAGTGTGAAGTAAAAGAGACATTCATAATAATGTGGCTTACTGGTTAGATCTTTTGCTCGATTTTGGTGAATTTTGCACTCTGATGATGCTTGTCATTGGGTCATTGAAGTTTAGTGTGTAGGGATTAGAAACAACTACAGTATAGGGATGCTGCTTAAGATTGTATTGAAACTGTTATGGTAAAGGCATACTGGGATATACTGTAATTATTTTATGGCTATATTTGAGATCCTCTCACTAGAACATCCTGTGTCGGTCCTTGCCATATTTACATGAATAATGAATAAGGCCAATAGGTTGTATGAGAATGCAAATTAGTTTTTTGTGAAATTGTGTACAGTGTACATCTTGATAAGTTGATCATCTGATCTTGGCATGATGCTATTTGCTACCTATGCTATACAGTACTATAGTTTTTGGATTTGTTTAATACTTTCTGTCTTTTCGTACAGTAAATAAAGATTATAAAGTGTATGTTGAAACTTGAATGTAAACTAATGTTTAATTTCATTTGTTCATTTAATTATTTGTGTACACCTTGATCATCATCTGATCTTGGCATGCCATACCTTTTTGGAAAGCTTTATGTCTAAGCTACAAGACAACATATGAAAATTTCAGCTCTCTAGGTCTGTTTTTAAGGGTTTTAGAGCCCCCCCCCACAAAAAAAAGAAAGAAGCTAAAGTCATATAATAAAAGTTAGCGGTTAGCATTAGCTTCCGCTTATTTTTTTTAGCAGTTTAGCGTTAGTGAAGCTAACTTTTTAGCTGGTGGATTAGCGGTGAGCGAAGCTAACTTTTTGTTTAGCTGTGCCCACCACTGCAAATCTGACATAAGAACGTTCTCAGGAACAGAACCCGTTCATAACCTGGGCACCCCCTGTATTACATAGTCCCATAGATCAATGTAAAAGGTGCTATATAATAGCACCTCACCTAGCAAACAATGACTACAACATTGCTTTGAACTTCTAACCAACATGACTTCAAGTTTACTGGACTGAAATCCTGAGATAGGGTGACACCATGTTGTGAACAACTCGGCTATGAATATGAGACATAGTTTGACATTCATAGTAATATGAGACATAGTTTGACATTCATAGTAATATGAGACATGGTTTGACGTTCATAGTTTCCTGCCACTTGTTGGACTGTTCATATCTCTCCTGTTCACAGCCTTTTAGCTTTTTTTGTAGGTCATCCATGAATAGATGTTAATCCACTCTTTGTTCAGTATTTTGCTTGATGATTATTGACATTTATCACACTGTCCTTTTCCATCTACTGTGTATGTTCAGGTGGGAGTTGTTTTTGGAATGTATTCCAGTACAGTACAGCTGCTACTCGACTTATGACGGGGTTAGGGACCCAAATCCAGGTCGTAAGTCCAATTGGTCATAAGTCGAAAATGCTTAAATACATAGAAAATCTAAAATGGGTGTTTCTTTTTCTTCTCAGCACCACAAAACTCTCACTTTTAAGCTTGCCAGCCATTTTTAAGTGAATTACAAACAAAAATTTTGTCAGTACACAGTGCAATCACTAACATTGGGACTCGAAAATACGTAATTTGACAAAATTTTGGTATGACTGAAGCGGTCGTATGTCTGTTTTTTTTTTTTTTTTTTTTTTCCGGAAATTAGTCCACCCAGGCACAGGTCACTGACCCACATCGGGGCCTGGGGGGTGAAAATGTAATAATAATAATAATAACAACAATAATAATAACAATAATAAAAATAATAATAAAGAACCACAAAGAAATACAAAATGAAAAAAAAATCAAAAGTGAGGAACAATATATGTACTGTATGTTGTGTTGTCAATAGTAAGAGAAACAATTGAGACCCTGCAATTGTGTGTAAATGAGGCAGAAAGTCAGATCAGCAACCTGGGACTTGGTCACAATTTTTGTGATGCCATGTGGCTGCAAGATCTACCATAGACAACACATTATGCTTCCAATATCTTCCCAGGCGGTAGTACATTCCTGTTTGGTAGCTGCCTAATACTTACTACTTATCAGGGTGGTCGTAGGTCGAGTATGTCGTAAGTCTAGGAGTAGCTGTATGTTTTTCCTTTGTCGTGGTGTACTGAATAGACCTTGAGAAACCATTTAAGGGGTTTCATCATGGATGGTACTAGGGATCATCAAAGCAATGTTAAATGGTAGATATACCTATGTAGGATTAATGGTTGCCCTCTGTGCCTGAGCTGTCCTCCTGAAAGGAATTGTCTTGTTTGTGTAAATTTTCTTTCACCTGCTGGCACCCTCTTAGAATTTTAGAATTTACACTTATTGATTGTTCTAGTTAGATGTTTTGCACTCACAATAACCCCCTCTTACTCATAATAACCATGGTCTTTTTTTTCTCTTGCCCAGTAAATAAAATTTCCCATAGACATATGACTTTTTTTTTTTTTACGGGGATTATCCCACCCGGGCACAGGTCACTGACCCACATCTGGGCCTGGGGGGCGAAAATGTATGAATAATAATAATAATAATAATACAGTACAAGTAATAATAATAAAGAATAAAAAAAATGAAAAAAAAGATAAAAAGTGAAAAACAATATATGTATGTTGTGTTGTCAATGGTAAGAGAAACAATTGAGACCCTGCAATTGTGTGTAAATGGGGCAGTATTAATATTTTGGAAAGACTTACTTTCATGTCTTATCTGAAGATTCTGAAATCTTTTTTTATCTCTTTAGGTGCTCTTAGCCGTGTGCAAAATATTTTCCTTTATGCTCAGTCATTCATTGTGACCTGTAGGGCTACAGGTCAGCTTTTCAGTAATTATTCTTGGATGAGGAAAAATATCTTTTATTTTTATTAGTTCATGAGGTCCATATTGTGTCACAACTATTGTTTCATTAGCTGTACCAGCACATGACCATAATTTAAGTGTTCAAGGAAACATCTAATGATTCACTTACAGAGTCAGTAGCTTATGTCCCATTTGTTGAAATATTTAAATTAACTCTACATAGCATTATTATTATTATTATGGTAAAGCAGTTTGAGAGAATGATGAATAATGATTGATATGAGAGAAACAGTTGGTATTGATTGTGGTGACTGTGTTGTAGAGACATACTGTACTTTGGATGTACATAATTCAGATGATTGTAAAATACAATTGTCATCATTGTTTTCTGTTATTAGAGCCTTCATTAGGTTTGTTTACTTGACAGCAAACCAGTGGTGCAGATCTTGCTCTTTTAATGTTGGATGTGCTGGAGAAGTCCAAAACAGAGCCAACAGATGACCAAATATCACGAATAGCAAAGTAAGTCATAGTTATGTACAATATTTTATTTAATTAAAAATTTGCATTTTTCTCATTTGTAGACAGAGGATAAAAGCCAGTTTTAAAAGCTTGTAATTTTAGACAAAATTTGGAAGTAGTTTTATGTGTAGTAGAAGTTATATATTAGATTTATACCCTTAAGTTTGCTGTGTAAACAACAACATAGAAAAATCACTGTCATCTGTCATGTTGATTTTTTATTATATGAAAATTTTTGTTCACAGTCTGTTCAGCCTCTTAAATCATGGAACACCCGAACGTCACCAGTACCTTGTGCGTGCGGTAAAATGGTCATGTGGGGAGACACACAAGCTTGGCCATCCAAGATTACACCAGCTCCTTGCACAGACACTATGGAAAGGTAAAAAACTAGCATTCTTGGTGCACACAATGTAGGTGTAGATTTATTAGTTTTCTTTATACAAAACAGTCTCTCCTCCAATTACGACGGGGTTCCGTTCCAATGACCAGGTCGTAAGTCGAACCTACGAAAATAATACATACCGTAGTACAGTAGAGTCGGGATATATACAGTAGAGACTTTATATAAAGATTTTTTATATCGCAGTTACCAAAATTATCGACATTTTCCCATATATAGCAATAAATTTATTTACAGTAGACTTGCAACTTATGTGGGGTTCTGTTCCTGGGACCTCACATAAAGCCAAAAACCATATAAAGTCAGAAACACACCTAAAAATCCCCTAAATTGACCCCAAAATATGAATTGAAAAACTGTATGGGAATATCTCCGTTAGCCGGAATCCCTCAAACCTACTCTCTGTTAGCCGGAATTGAAATTTGCTCGGAAAAGCATTCCCAAAGCCGGAATTTAAAAAAAATTCCGGCTTTGGGAAAAAAATTTCCGAGATCGAAAATCGAGAGCATTTTCTGAAAATGTCTTGAATAAATACGAAAGCTCAATTATTTTTTGGGAGGGACCAGACCTGACTCAATGTCAGGTTGAGGTAGTGTAGGGGATTAGTGGTCTCATATTATTGACTTTCTGATGGAATGTCAGGTCACCCTTTCTTGGGTAGGGGATTAGTGGGTCTCTTGACCTGAAGATGTCTTGAATAAACATGAAACCTAAAGTATTTTAGAGAGATTGTGATAAGTATAAGTATAAATGAGCAAAGTTGTATCCCTTCAACATTACATTACATTACATTTTAAAATATGGAGTGAGAAAGGTGTGGGTGATTAGAGAGATGGAGTAGAAAGGAGTGGTAACATGCACCAGTGTTGCCAAGCGATAAGCTCCTCAATGCTGATCTTTTAATTCGCCTTCACGCAGTCACACAACAAAACACCTCGCTGGATGCTTGTCTTAATTCCCCTTTTGTGTGTGTGTGTGTGTGTGTGTGTTTGAGCTTGCCAAGCACATTGTAGGATTTGAAGAAGCTGATGAGGAGTTTGTTCAGGAGTCAGGTGGTGAGGTGACATGCCAAGACACTTACACAGCACACACATTAACAGCAATACTAAACCATTGTCTTATAACATTTTACATTATAATTTCTATTTTAAAATTAATTGATACATGATGGCTTGACAGGGCTACTTTTGCACTTAGACAACTGATCAATGAATAAACCAGGGCATATGGAGACTCATTATACACTAGTGATGTCACAAAGCTTTGAAACATAAATTATCACAACCTGCTTTACCCTTAAGTACTTTATGCGTCAATCTTCTCACCTCCCTCCCTCCTCCCAGCCGGAGGAGAAAGGTCTATTGGGGGTAAGAGTGACCGCGATAACCCCCAACGGCTTTTTCATCGTGTGTGTGCGTGCGTGCGATTTAGACATAATAATATACGTTCAATACATTTACAGGGCTGTACAGTACATACAGTAAATCAGGAGCTGTTTATTATTTTAACAATAGATGGGATGGTGCTATTCTTATATCTATCAGTGCGGGCTCTTATGTGCTGAATTTTGCTGTAGTGGCAGACTGAGCGATGTGGGCTGGGTACTGCAGGTGGCAGTAGTCCACTACCAAACCTTGTTAGTGCGTGATGGTGGAGGTCACTGAGGAATGGCATTTGCAGGGTGGAGAGAGCGTTGTTGTAGCCGGAGTAGTCTGCGCCGAGCATGATTCTGCAGGCCCTTTTCTTTACCTTCTCTAGCCGAAGTTGTTGGGTAGAGTTGAGAGAAGACGACCAGGCTGGTGACGCATACGTTAATTTTGGAAGTATAAATGCATTGTAGATAGCCTTCAGCTCTGGTGTGGGTACCCCAAGTGACCTGAGTCGTCGTAGCATGTAGAGTCGGTACGAGGCTACCTTGATAGTGTTGTTTACATGGGCCTTCTAGTTCAGTTTGTGGTCTATAGTTACACCCAGGAGTTTGGCAGACTGCACTAACTGGAGAGGATGGGCACCCACTGTAACTGCTGGAGCTTGCACTGGAGTGGTGGTGGTATTGAAGTGCTTGACTACGGTTTTGGTGTGTACGCGCGTGTGCGTGTGATAATAATAATAATAATAATTAACGGTTTATTGAAAAAAGTTCTGCAGCCCGAAGGCTGAAAATATACAATGGACTTAAATGACTTATTACATACATTGGTGGTTTAACAAAAGCCTTCATTAGAGAAAGGAACATACAGTGAACATACAGATTAATGTTTACAGTGGAGGTCACGTAGATCATGTGCACTGAGGTGTTGAGCAGCAGACATGTATTGTAGTAACTCCCTCACAGATGGTGTTATGAGGGGCATCATGTGGTGTAGTAACACCATCACAGATGGTGTTATGAGGGGCATCATATGGTGTAGTAACACCATCACAGATGGTGTTATGAGGGGCATCATGTGGTGTAGTAACTCCCTCACAGATGGTGTTATGAGGGGCATCATGTGGTGTAGTAACACCATCACAGATGGTGTTATGAGGGGCATCATGTGGTGTAGTAACTCCCTCACAGATGGTGTTAAGAGGGACCTGGTGTGTGTGTGTGGGTGTGCGCGTGCGTGCGCATAAGATAAATGACACAGTTTCCATGAGTGCATACGTACATACGTTGGCCTCCTGCTAAGTCTCACTTTTTTCTCCACCAATTCATTGGTCATTTCTATTGTATGTACATTACATAACATTAATTAAAAGATACATAAAGTATTTTTTACATAAATTTTACTGCTGTACATCTACAACCATCGTTAGTCAAGGCTTTAATGTACACAAAATCAATACAATAAGCTATAATACCCACTCATTTCATCCCAAATATTATTGGATAATTGCTTTGGAAAAATCCCTAAATGGCAACTGTAAGCTGACGGGAATCAGTCCTGTCCATATGATATTGTAGGAGATACCGACTGCACCCCCCCCCCTCACCAAGAGTTCACTACTCATATGTGTATCGTTCCTGAAACACAAGCCAACTTGTGGCATGATGGATGACTCATTAATGGGTAATACGGTATAAAATCAAGAGATTTTCAGGGAATCTTTTTAATATTGTATACATACTGTCGTGATCCCAATATCCTTTATACCTGGGGAGTGAAACCTACCCCAAATTATCATCAAATAAAGGAACAAACAGGGAACACGGCAATAATTATCCCCACAAAAATTGACTCAACTGAATGTACTTGAATAAATATGAATAAGTTGGAGTAAGTGAGTCACAAATGGGAAGATTATTAAATAATTCAATTTATGTTCTTAAAGGAGTACAGGTAGTTCTGCTATAACGCGATAATTGTGTTCTTGCAAAATATCGTGTTATAGAAAATCGCGTAATAGAAATAACAGGGCTTATGGAGAAAATAGGGTTAGGTGCAGATTACTCCAAATCGAAAAAAAATTTCGTAGTTAGCCTAACACAAAGGATAGCACAGTCTAAATAAATGTTACATTCTTATCTAATAATGAAATCATACAGTAAATGTTTCACTTTACCTTGAAAAAATATGAATATAACTTGATGGGGGAGAAGGGTGATGTTGAGGCTGAGGAGTCATGAAACATCAAGCTTTTCTTCAAGTGTTATAGCCTTTCTTTTACGATCACCACCGGAAATGCGATCACCAGAGTGCTTCCCAGAGATATTCTTCTTTTCCATAGTCACAAAAGTGGAGAAACAGTAATCAGAATTCACTGAGGACACTTAAAAACTTCACGTGTTTCAAACAAAGTGTGGAGTAAACAGAGCGCGCGGGTCTAAAACGCTATGTATTTTGTTTTTCTCTTATTTAAAACTTTACATTTTACATATACTGTACAGGTATACTGTATACATAAATATTACATAAATTATTTCTGCAATTCTTCACAAACAAAACACATAAATCAATTGAACATGTGATGTCGAACGTGAACTGTAAACACTGCATAACCCCGCACCAAGCCACAATGTACAGTACACTTTAAACGCTACTTATTTTGTTTTTCTCTCTTATTTAAAATTTTACAATTTACATATACTGTACAGGTATTTCTTCACAAACAAAACACATAAATCAATTGAACAAGTGATGTCGAACGTGAACTGTAAACATTGAGCCAAGCCACAACACTGTACAGTACACTTTAACACTTTAAACGCTACGTATTTAGTTTTTCTCTTTTATTTAAATTTTTACAATTTACATATATATATATATATATATATCTTGATAAAATATAGTATATAGCTTTCGTCTTTATTCAATATATATATATATATATATATATATATATATATATATATATATATATATATATATATATATATATATATATATATATATATATATATATATATATATAAATTGTAATTTACATATTATTCATATTATGCTAGAGCGCCCACAAAACATGAGAAACGTTTGAGTCCCCCAGTAGAGATGTCCGTTCTCTATCCACTCCAGGATGTCCGTTTTCTTTTTGTGTACTCGCTCAGGGACTCAAGTATTTCTGTATATGACACAGGATGATAAGGGAATTTGAATTTATTTGTTTATTTATTTATATATAATATACTGTAATATATTCAATATACTGCAAGTATTTTCTTTAATTTATATACGTGTTTCGCGAAAAAGGGAGGCTACATTTATGGTGATCGTTAAGGACCAAACTCCGAATCCATGACGTGACTTCTGTTCATTATTTATATCCTAAATTTACCACTGTAGGTAGTTTCAAGAATTAATGCAGTCATTTACTGAATATTCTTTGCAAAAAAATAAATTTTAAATGAATTATTTATAAGAGATAAGTATTATGATCAGTAAATATACAGATATGCATTACTGACCACCTCCGAACACAAGGACGGCTAAAAATAGCCACAGGCGGTCACAGTCAAGGTCACTTTCCCTTTCTTGTCACTGGCAAATGGGGGAGGGGGG